GCATTATTGTATTGCAAAATCCATGAGTTGTTTTCGGTCGAAATGGTATAGACAGAGCCATTTGATATGTTAAACTCGACAGCAATCTCTCTTTCACTTATATGATTTTCGAACACTAATTTCTTCATTCTTTTAACGTTTTCGTCCATATTTGATGTGGATGGATGAGCGACCACAGAACGAAGTAAGTTTTTGACAGTTATATGACCCTCTTTGAGCAATTTATATCACTCATACGTCTGTATTTTTTAAATACAGTTATCCCCATATGCTTTTTGTAGCATTTTCAACGCGTCGGCACGAGAAACTCCGTTGAAAACACAAAATTTAAGACAATCTCTTTACTCCACAATATTCGTAAAAATCGCAGATAGTATCAGAAGTCAACTGACATAAACAGCTGCCACGAATAAACTAATTGACAGATCACGCTCTAATTCTGTATGGAAGTTAAATACAGTAGTACCAATTACAAAAGGATTTTAAAATATAAAGACAAGTCATTTAAATGAACAATTCCAGGTACTTTTTGAGCGGAAAGTATATTAACTTCTTATTAATTATCATTACTCTTTCTTAATAACTTCTTTCTCTGTTGAAAATGTCTTACGTGTAAGTGGATAATCCTCTGACACATTTGAAACATCTAGCTGTCAAAATGTCACTTCTGCTTTATAAATACCATTTTCCGTTTTCTGCATTAATCAATAATCATGAAAAATATGTTGTTAAATTGATTGCGGCTAGCCGAAAACTTTTAATATCTATCGATATATCGATAATAAAGCATCCGCAAAACCAAGTGTACACTTGGAAGTGAAATAGTTTGAACATATTTTAAGTAAACTTTCAAATGCAATTAATGATCTAATAAGAGAGCTTATTTTTAAAAAATTCTCCAGAAATTAAGCTCCCTCGTTGGACATATGCTGTGTTGCGAATTGCATCCAAAAAAGTATTCGAACCGCGATTCGCTCTCGACTATATATCGTCTTATAACACATTGGCAACTTAAACTAAATCTAAATCGACGTGAAATTCAAAGACGCAACTTCAGTTGTTAATAGATGTTACGATTTGGTATTTGCAAGCTGGTGTGAAAGTGAATATATCGGAAAAAGACCACGGGCGAAAAGAACTGAAGTACCGTACTTTCTTCTTACTGCTAATTAGACCTTCCCCTCGTAGAATGCTCCGTTGAAATATATCCTCGTCGACGCGAGTCGAACGCGTGCTCAACATGAGCAAAAAATATTCGCAGTATTGTACATTGCAGAAAAAACGTTTAACTGTTGGCCACCAAGTGAGACATCTAAATTCCGAATGCTGTCGGCCCATGTCGATGTCAGTCCAAGTTGAAATTCAAATGACGTTCGCTTGTTGCTTGGCCGCGAATCCAAGAAGCAACAGAAACTTATTTCCGTCTGTTATTGTCATCTCGTTCCGTTTGTGTGTAAACTTCCACGGGCGGGAGAATTCACGTAACTAACTTTCAACGAAATGCGATCCAGGATCTTTATATTGGATGCAAAACGAGCATTAAGTATCCCTTAATTCCGAATTTCTTTTCTCTTATACGAGCGTCACGTTGTTTTTACCTTGGGAATCAAACAGGCAGATTTAGTGTCCAATATACATTTAGAATAAAGTCCGCCCATTGCAAAAATACATACTTTGACCTTAATAACCGCTGAAAAAAATCGCGGCGTCCGATTGCAGTAATGACTGCAAGATGGATCATTGGCCGTAGATCGCTCTCGATCTGCTCGCGCATGTAAGGCTATATCGCGCGTTTATTTTCGTCCGTCCGTCCGTAGAGGTTGATGTTTGCCGTGGGAGCAATTGCAATCTCCTGCGAGATATACGTCAAAGTCTTTCGCGGATCTGTCGAATGTTTTTCGCGCTGAGAACGCGACTCGACGGCACTCGCGATTGGTGGATCGCGGTTCGTCAGACCGCGATAGCTTGTCTAATCGGTGAACTTCTTGCGCGCTCGGCCCTCATACGCCTTGTGTTCTTTCATTAATTAATAAGAGAATAATGAGGACCGAGAAGGTCAATCGCACTTTTCCTTTTAATCTGCCACGATTTTATATGCTTCTGCGCGCGCACGCGCGCGACTTTCGTTTTTTCGAAATTTCGCGAAATAAAGTCTCACTTTACTTCGTGAAACGAGTGAAAATTCACTTGAAGCGCCACTCCGAATTGTAAGAGTGAATATTCCATTTCAACTTAAAGCGGATTCTGACTCCGCACGAGTGAATGTTTCAATCGATTTGTCCCAGTGACGATGAAATAAGTTATCTACTATCCAATTTCGAATGAAAATACTCATTGAACTATTTAATGGAAGTATTACTATTTGATATGTGCATGCGTATGTGCGTGCGTACATGCGTGTGCGTGCGTATGTGTGTGCGTGGTTGAAAGGTTCGAACAATTTGACCTTGAAGCTTCGAGTCTTCGTGCTTTTTATCAAAAATATGGAACTACAATGAAACTAATTGGAAAAGCAACATAATTCTATACAATTAACATCATTCGAATATTTGAATAGTTACACTTGTTTATATTTCAAAATTTCATTATTGGAATATAATGCTTCAAAACTTTGAAACTTCAAATAATCAAAACTTCTAATACGTGTATAATGCATAGTCCTAATATTTAAAAATGAAAAATATGACTGTCTAGGGATAAAACTCAACGTTTCCCGCTTCTCTACATGAGTGAAAAATTACTTAAATTTAAGTGATCCATTTGTCACATTACCTTTCCATTATAATCTCACTCCAAGAAATTTAAAAAGTTCATCTTCGTGCAATTGTCATTAGCAAATACGAAGACGAGGCGACAGCTGTGAAAGGATCAGCCCGCTTCCAAATAGAGATGAAAATAGTAAGTAGGGCACTCTTGTGATCGTGAATAGAGACGGAAAGATTATCTCTGTCAAAACGCTTCTCCCGGCGAGTTTTCTGTCGATGTCATCGCACAAATGCGTTCATTACCGACATCATAATTGACGCACTGCAATTGCAATACGCTCGTAGCAGATGAATAAAGCAGATATAATCAAACAAGTCGTCAGGACGAGCGGTTTAATGCTTACGTAGCAAACTTGCTACGAGATCATATCGTTGCGTCAATCTGCGTAAATCCCGTACATTGAATTCACCCTCGACCGCCTCGCCAACCCTCCTCCTGCACGGAGGGTTAATGGCTGACAAAACAAATAAACCGAGAATAGCTGTATTGCCATATCGACATTTTTATTCTCTTAATCTTCAGAATTATATAATATGGCATGAAGAGAGCTCATTTCTTGCAGAATTAGAAATATATATTATACGAATGGATAAATTATATTATTACGAAAGAGAGAAGGATCAAAATATTATCAGGCAGATGTGTTATTAAATAGAAAGAAATCAAAACATCGTACGAGGTAACTAAAAATATTAGTCGATAATCCTGGAAAAATAAATTTTTTTCGTTATAAGCGCAAAATTAATCTCCTTGTACAAAAACCTAATTCCGCTACAGTGAAACTTTATTTTACCCCTAGCAGTAAAGGACTATACATACAACCTTTATATCTTTTCACTCGCCCGCCTTTTATATAACACTCGCGATTTCTTCACGCAACGTAGCAACGCTTCCCTACGTGACATTCCCCAACTTCTCACGTGACATCATCTATTTTCTCACACACACACATACACACGCATGCGCGCGCGCTCACACACGCGCGCACGCATAGACGTTCAAAACAAACCCTTTCCCTGCTACAAACATATATACTCACCGACACCCCGAAAAGCGTTCTCGTCCTCGTCTAACTCCTTCTCCCGCTCAGCGGAAAACGTTGATTACCGAAACGCACTCGCACACGCGTTCGTAAAGTAAAGTCGCTGGAACACTTCCGCGTGCGCTTCTAGTTCCCTCAATTTCGACAACGGCGATCCCGACACGAACGAGAGCGCGGCACTTCCCCTCTGTTCCCGCGAGACACCGAGCGAGATGACGGCGACGACGGAGCAGCCGCGCGTGGACTTCTACTTGGCCGTGCGTCTCGTATAAAAATGACGGCTACGTCTCTCGCTGAAGCGGTCGCCGGCGGTACAAGGGCGTCGAAGGTCGCAGCTGCGCGTCGCGGTACGCAGGTACGTCTCTGTCTCTTTTTCTCTCTTGCTCGCTCGCTCGCTCGTTCGCACGCATGCATGCTCGCTAGCGCGCGCGCGATTCCGGAAGCTGACCGGCACGGCGCCGATAACGACGATGACAGGTCGTTTCGCCACGCGAAAGCCGCGACGCAACGTCGCTAGAGAACGAAAGACAAGATCATCAGGCGAACGCCTGATTTGCTTCGCTCTTGCGAAGCCACGGAATAAATTAAAGCAAAGAATGAAACGAGCACGCGCGCCAAACGAGCGTGCGCCATGTTGCAATCGAAAGCCAGCATCCGATATATCGATGAGCCTCGATATGAACATGGCGCGGCTAACCGGCTGCGTCGTATCGCGTGATTCAATTTAACTCCACGCCGCTAAGAATCACCTTGCGTCACACTCAGTTATTTTTCGCCATTGCGATTCTCTCTCTCTCCCTCTTTCTTTCTCTTTCTTTTGCGATGTACGTCGCACAAAACGAACAAATGTATTTCTGTATTCTCGTGAGCTTCAGCTGACCGTCGGCCAAGTAAATAGTAATCGTTCGACAGTCAGGATGTCTAACATGTATATTCCTGATCAAGGATCTCTCTCGTCGATTCATCTCGTAGTTTTGCTCCTGCGAAATGCGTTCCGCGCTAGAAAAACACCAAGTTCCACGAGCGCGCATAGAAATCTTGATATATGCGCATCGGCAAGAGCGCCGACGGCCTACTGGGGAGATTCACCGCTAACATACGGTCCTGAACAATCGGAGGAATCGGGAGATCCGCCGCGAGAGGCGCAGCGTCGCGACGCTCATTGCCTCGCTCTCGCGCGTACCGCAGATTATGCCGCATTGCTACAAGCGTTCGCGATCAACGCGACGCCGGCCACGGCAGCTGTAACTTGTACAAGCTGAGAGTAGAACGGAGCAGCAACGGGAGCGCGACGGCCACATCAACATGAAGCACGTCGTCGCCTTGGAAGACGATGAGGAAGACGAGGCCGAGCGGTAGATAAAACGCCAAAACGGCAAAGAGAATAGGCATATTTCGTTACCTGGATTTCCCTGAGAAACCTGATGATCAGCATAACTCAACGCGATCATGAACGTCCGTCGGCTGCCAGGTTTCATGTACAACTACAAACTCGCGACTGTCCTCCTGTTATCCAGTCTGTTCCTCGTCATCTACCTGCTTCTACATTGGGGTATTATGTGCACGAACCTCGAGGCCTGGCGACACGTATCCACCGTGGTGAGTCCGCTGGAAGACGACGAGTCACTCGTTTACGTTTTCGTCGTCGTCGTCGTCGTCGTCGTCGTCGTCGTCGTCGTCGTCGTCGTCGTCGTCGTCGTCGTCGTCGTCGTCGTCGTCGTCGTCGTCGTCGTCGTCGTCGTCGTCGTCGTCGTCGTCGTTGTCGTCGTACTAATCACGGCGATCAGCGTACGATGCGCGGTACGCGCGATCACGACGTTTCCACGGTTCCGCGATAAGGGTTCGCATGAAGGGGATGTATCGGGATGGTGTGCGAGTGTATCTTACGTCGACGAGAGAAGGTGAAAAAGAGAGAGAGAGTGAAAGTGAGAAAGGGAAGAGAGAGAGAACGAAAGTAAAGCAGACGCACGCGTACTTTAACGTGACCTTTCCAAATGACAAGGAGGGATGCTGCGATCAGAGATGTGCGATTCATGAAATTGCATCGCGATGCAATTTTAAGAATCGTAACGAAAGTAATATACAATCACAATTTTGTATCGTAAACACGATTTTGAGTCACTCACAATTTCACATAAATATTATTCACGTAAATATTATTTTTAATCAAGCGCGATTCCATATCACTAACTCGATTTCCAATCATATGTGATTTTAAATTACACGCGACTTTTTGCGTTTGTAAGTGTAATCTTGAATAGGGCATATATAATTTAAAATTTGTGCAATAAAAATCAAATTGTACATTATATTGTGATTCAAGAAAAAATCGCAGTGCTTCTGACATATCATAAATCGCACATCTCTAATTGCGACCGTAACAGATCTCATCCATGTCATTTGCATGTGATATTTGTATTTGCAATTACTCGAAAGTTTTCACCCTTCCTCGTTGCCACATCCGAAATAGGAAGTTGCGACGCGAACGACCAAATTCAATGGCACTATTTTCTTTTACATAGAGATGTGCGAACTATTCGAATCCGAATCCCTATGATTCGAATCCGAATAATTCGAAAATTTCGAATCGCGAAGATTCGAATACGAATCAAATACTTAGCGTTTGCGCGCATCAACTACAGAACAGGCCATCTGGGCCTATATGTTTGAACCCTTAACTTGTAATTAACTTAACTTAATTATTAATAACTTAATTATAAATTACTTTAAATATTTAGATATATATATTACTTTAAGATGATATTACAATATTAATATTCCCTTTCATATTAAAATCTTCCATCATTATTTGCACGTTTAATAGTTATGTTAAATTTTTTAATAATTCGATTCGATTTCATTCGATTCGATTCGACATAAAAATTCTTGATTCGCACATCTCTACTTTTACACTTAGTGAATTTGCATTGAGGGAAAAAAATGGTAAATCTCAACAAAATTCGTATTATTATTTCTAGCATTCTCATTTTCTTGTTATTTTAATTTAATAATGGTAGTTATATATATATATATGTACGAGGTATCCAGGGTGTTTTGGGAACGAAAAATTGTAAAGATTAATTAGGTTAAACTGAGAAGGAAAGTCATGTATTATTTTGCAAAAATTGCAATAATTATTAACGATTGAAAATAACTACATCTAGAAGCTCTTTTAATTGATAATTGGAAAGTTTGCGTATTTATCTGCAAAATGATAAAGGACTTTTTTCTTCAGAGTGACCTAATCTACAATTATATGACGTCTATTGTGTCTAGCGACAGATTTAAGATTCAGGGTTTAAAGTTCAGTATATTCATATCTACTGCTAGACATAATAGCTGTCATATAATTGTAGATTAGGTCATTCTGAACAAAAAAGTCCTTAACCATTTTGCAAAGAAGTACGCAAATTTCCAAGTTATCAATTAAAAGAGCCTCTAGATGTATTTATTATCAATCGTTAACAATTTAGTAATTATTGCAATTTTTGCAAAATATTTGACTTTTCTTCTCAGTTTGACCTGATTAATCTTCACAATTTTTCGTTTTCAAAAGATCCCAGACACCCTTTATATATATGTGTATAAAGTGTATAAAGTTTACTTAGGGACTATTCTGTGTCTTACTTAGAGACTATTCAACCAAAAGTTTAAAGGCTTTTAAAAGCCTATACATGGATCTTACAGTATGATAATATCAAAGAAAATCAAGTGCAATCAAGTGATATTTAACCGAAAGTTTGAAAACTTTTAAAAAGCTTTAAAGCCTATATGTGGATCTTATAGTGTGATAAGATCAAACAAAATCAAATGAAATCAAGTGAAATACGTTGATATTTGATTTCCTATAAAGCTAAGAAAAAGTAACTTTTTTTTTACTAAAAATCAGCAGCATGAAAATGTTAATATAAATATATAATACAGATATCAAATCATTAAATTATTTTCAGACAAATATATCTGTATGTCTGCAACTACTTCATTCAAGTTATGTTCGAAATGTGGTATATGTGTGTTATTAGCGATGTATCTTCGGAACGTTATCTCCTTGCTTTGACATGTTTTGACACCGGCGATACTTGATATCATGACAGATCGAAGTGTTTATCTCCATATTAGATTCACCGCTAAAGAAAAAATAGGACATATAAATCATAATCATCTAAACAATAATAAGAATAAAATTAATTTCTTGACCTTGTGAGAAATTAAATACACTAACGTGTTTCATTTGATTTAATTACACTATAAAACCCATATATAGGTTCTTGAAGATCCTCTTTATTCTTTTTATCTGATTACATATATAAAGTTAATATTATTGATATTAGAATCACACTTATTATAAAAATGGTTCTGCTAATTATAATTCTTTCACTACGCGATTATGTAATTACAAATACCAAATGCTTTTCTCAGTTTTTATTGAAAACCGCTACTGTTTATATCATACAGGCTTCAACAATTGTAATTTGACACTAAACCCGTCACTTGTAACGACATATTTTCGACCATCGAGAAGTTGGAAGTTTTGACGATTTCAGCTTAAGTCTCGAGAACAGAGTCACAGAGAGAAACTTCTATGATAAGAACTCTTTTCTTTATTGACATAGAGTTTACCAGTGAATCTCGACAACTACGTTAATAACGCGAGAACGCGTGCCAGTAATCCGAATAATGCTCCGTGACTATCGATCCCTTTAAAATTTTCTTAATTTCGCCAGGATCGATCATGACCTGGATACAGATTCTGGTTATGCTGAATCAAGAAATTCGCGTTCTGTTTTGCTGAGAAATGCCAAATTCCCGTGATGTCTTGCAATAAATAGTTTCAAATGAATTTCAATCCGTGCTACAACCTGATCGGAAGTGACATCGATGAAGTCTTATGCGATTCGAGTCTGTCGCCGGCTATTATATTCTAACAGTACCGCTGCAACGTATAATTAAAAAGAAATTCGCTTACGCAACACTCGACTGACACACGCGAGGCTATCGTAGGACGAAATATTATATGTGACGTTTTTCTAAGCTTCATTGTGTAAAAATATTTATTCGATCAAAAGCTTCCAGGGGAACGACCTTCATAATTATTCTTTATTAAGCGGCGTGCACAAAGAACGTATTTGCATTACGCTTGATCTTTCATCAATAGCTTTCCATTTCGTGAGGGATCATCCCAAAAATGAAGAAATGAGATGTGAGGATATATCTTTTTTACTCGTACGTTTATTTTTCTTTCTTTTTTTCTTCCTTTCTTTCGCGAACGTATCTCTCAGAGATACGAGGTTTAAAACGGTTTCACTTCGCGAAACGTAACGTCGCGGCCGCGAGATAAATCATTCCATTCCGAGAGCATTTTCGATAAGTCGCCTCGGCGAAGAATACGCAAGCACACGTGATATGTATATACGAGAACCACGAAGTCACGAGTCCCCTCCCGACAGCGTCATTGGACTGACTAAAAATATCATCATATATAGCGAGCTCATGTGTATGTACAATATTGTATACATAGCACGTTCCACTAACACACGCGTTAAGAGAGCAAGTAACGTGTAGTCCGCACGAATATGAGAGCACACTGTGTACGTACATACATGATGTCCAAAAAGTCTCGGACCGGTAAAATATCTCGAAAACAAGACATTTCAGAAAAAAAATGTAAATTTAATGATTTTGAAATTCTCAAAGGTCAATAAGTTAACAAAAGTCAAGGCACTATTATAACAATATATTTTTGAGACCAAATAGAGTAAAAAAGTCTAATACCACTTTTTCTTTCGACAAATAGTTAGCGAGATATCGAAAGATAAATATTGAAAAAGTTACCAAATTTTTTTTAAATATCTTAAAAAATATTAGATAAATAGAAAAATATTTCAGACAAAAGTTGTTCAAATTAATTTGTAGAAAAAAATAATATAATAAAGAGTTTGGATTTGCATTTAAGAAAAGTAATATTCAGTGAATATCTCGAAAGTGGCGCCATCTGTAAACAAACTGATGTAGTTGTTTTATGTTCCCCTTGAGACCATACAATTCTTGAAACATTTTTTTCTGAAATGTCTTGTTTTCGAGATATTTTACCAGTCCGGGTTTTTTTGGACGCCCTGTATATATATAACGACACCCACGCGCGCAGAGTAATTCTCTTTCATTGCTCTCAATTCGCAACCCGGGTGGCGCGTGACAAAAAGAAACTGTCTGTTGAAACGAATATTTAAGAGTACAGAGATTCGTAACAGATACTACGACCAGAGAAAAGATGATTTGTTACGTGAGAATAAGTTGAGAATGTAAAATTAAATCAGAGACGGTGGACACGCATGGTCTCAAGAAATTAATATCTCCAGATTTGAAAACTGAGACAATTTTTAAAAAAGTTATAGCATCGAAATCCGCGATAATATCTTGAAATACACTTTTTCCAAAATATACAATATTTCCGAGAAAAAACTATCATATCGGAAACAATACATACATTAACCCATTAACACCCAAAAGTCCTAAAATATTAGCCATACTTTGCAACTGTATTTTATGTAGAGAAACATATTATATAAGGTTGGAATAGCATTCCTTATGTTTTCGGGGTC